TTCCTATATTGTATTCCTATATTGTATTCCTAAATTGCATTCCTATATTGTATTCCTATATTTTATTCCTATATTGTATTCCTATATTGTATTCTTATATTGTATTCCTATATTGCATTCCTATATTGCATTCCTATATAATATTGTAATTTATTTGAGTCGAATTAAATTGCATCCGCATATAGAGGTGCAAACGATTTATATCCACACAGGACTGACTCGCGGTTCAGGAGTGACAGAAACGAAATTCGATATTTACCATTAAAATGACTGCCGTACAAATAGTGTATGCATATTTGTTGATGAATAATTTAGACGTCCGTACATTATATGTTGTTTATGACGCTGGATACAGCGGCAACCGTTTTACACCTCAGACGATATGGAATATCCGAGTATGTCACGAGATTAACAGAGCGCCATCATGAAACGACATGATAATAACAATGATTTTTATCAAATATTATTATGTTAATAGTTTATCCAAGACTGATAATATGTTTTGTGATTTAGCTGCTCGCACGTGGTAGTTGTGAGTATACTAAAATATTTATTTTATTGAGACCATTGATTATTATTAATCAATATGACATCGCCCTCTCATGTATACGCGTGTCACTTATGCGAGAATTAAAACCACAACCGTACATTTATTTTTCAATCAAAACGCTAAATATAAAGAACGGAACAATTTTCCTGTAATTGGGTGTCATAATAAGCATATTACTAATCCCATTGTCACATGAATCCCGGTTGTTTTGTCCAACTGTAATTATCTTCATTGTGGACCTACACATAGTTTGAATATGCCTCTCTTTCATGTGTGCAAACTTACGTAACCACGTATTTGCAACGTCCATGTTGACAATGAAACGTGCAGTGCGGTGTATCCGGTGTTTCACGATTATGAATAACTACCATACTCTCATGTACGTCAAAGCGAGACCCTATCGTTTTTATAATTACGTGAATTCTCGGACTTTACAACAATTATTAACAAGAACACTGAACTATTTAAAATAATACATTATTTAACACGACTACATTCTTTGCATCTGGAATATTGAGAGACGCGCGCCCTCACAGTGTAATAATGAAATGTGGTAAATCTTGCAGTACACGTAATAAACAGTACACTAAAATCTTTTGACAATTCCGAAATATTTACATTTCGAAAGATATTGATATCCGACATTCAGTGGCGTATTTCAGCTCGTATACCATACAAATTTGCATATGTATATTATAGATTCGCAGTTTCTTTGTGGCCTACGCAGACCATATAAAAAAACTACAAATGGCGGTAACCAGTGGAATAGTACACAATCACAATACCAGAATTGTACATCAAGATATAGTTTGGACATACCAATGACTGCTGCGTGGTCAATTCAGGTTGATTTGTTGATGGTGAATATACTAGTATGCTGACTCTGCGTAGCAATATAAATTAAATTAAAGCACTGGGTGTATAATAAGCTGATACGACTGGACGTTGGGGAGTTGTTCCGGACTACGCCCCCATTTGAGCTACACACAGCATTCTTAACATGTCATAGTTGAAATTAATTTTGTTTTCAAATTATGTTTCCTGTGAAGACTTTTATGTCACCACGACAAACTTATTTTTGAATAATAACAGTTGCTGAACATCACCGTACGTACCACTACATCACCAGGCTCAGCAAATTTGTTAACCGAAGAGATGTTCTCTCGAGCAAATGTTCATACGTATCATACTTTCTATATATCATATTTCCCATTATTTTACTTTGTTTCCTCAACAAAAACAGAATTAAATCTTACTCTGTACACAGTATACTCGCTAGCTAGCATTGTTAGTTCAATTGTGTGTATATCATGTGTTGTATTCACAGAGTAAGTACTAATATACTGTTTTAGAGTATCAAACGAAACGTGAAAACGTGGCTTACCAGTATCGCAAATCAACAAACAAACATATGATATAATCCAATGAAACTATGTTCCACTGTCGGACTTTATTTCGTGAATAACTATATATTGCTTTGTAATACAATGACCTGGAATATCATATAAGTTATATGTAAATTAATTAACTGACACCAATATGAATATTAATATATAACGTAGGCAACTACTACTGTATATGTATATGTATTTGATGACTACGACATATAACTAACATTCACAACAAAAGGAAAATGTTTTTCATGCGTCATATATGGATAGTGAAATAAACTATATGACAAAACAAAACGATCTAGTGAATATTTAGATTCGAATTGTAAAACGAAAACAAGTGGTATTATGATTGATTTGATTAATAATTCAATCAAAAATTAAACAAACCGACTACTGATTGTACAATGTTATTTATAGTAAATTTTATAGAAATGAAGTCGGCCCTTTTTAAAATCTAATAGACAAATTTTGAGTACCGCGTAACCTTAGAAACTTACTCTATTCATATCTCCATCCTGGCACTGAAGCCAACTGATGGCGCTAAAACTTTATTGCACTAACCATTGTTTATGTACATCCTGGCAAATTATTAAGACCATTGAACAAAAATTTAATTGTATACATTATTAGGTGATTTTAACTGCTTTTGGTGGAGGTAGAGCTCTGAAACCTTAATAATGTGTAGCTAAGAATGTCTAATTACGAAACATGTTTTGGCTTGCATTTTGTATATATATATATATATATATATATATATTGATAACGATTATCGAATCCATGAATACTTATACCACAATAACTATTATAATATAATGTTATTACATAGATCATTAGTATAAAACATACAGTTGTCGTATAATAATCAACGTTACTTGTAGGTCAAAAACGAATAGAAAAACAAGAATAAAATTGAAAAGGCAAACATTTAAATTAACAAATATTAAGAATGATAATTCCGAATTTGCATCCACATGTTGAATGATTATATGATTAAAAAATTAACCATACAGTTGTTGCCTTATATACTTATTAAGTATAAAGAAAAAACTGCTAAATAACTATGACAACAAACATTAAAACGTGTATATGTTTGAAATACCAATGTATTGCTAATAACGAGTTGGTTTATTTCACTTGAAGATTCGGTCAAGTGTTCGTGTCATCGTAGAGTGGGGTGTCCACTACGCCTGAACTGTCGTGCTGTGCTCGTTTTCCGTCGATATATGCGGCTCTGGTTGATCTTGCTTGATGTTTGGTGCCGCTTGGGTGGGTTCCATAATTTCAAATCTAGGACTGTGGTGCTCGAGGTTTGGAGACTGAGGGGCTGATGTCTCAATCATTTGAAATTGATTCAATGCTGGCAGCTTTGCAACGGTGGGCGAACCGTACATATTTTGGTATGGGTACATCATTGGAGCCGACTGGTATATTGGTTGAGCGACTGTCGAAATGTGCAAACAAATTCAGAATGTTATTACATACATACAAGTACGTGTAATCTATTAGAAATATTACAGGTCATGATCATAGTATCTGTATAATATTCAGCACGTTCGACAGAACATCACTAGTATGCGAGTATATGCAGGTTTTACCACAAACATATTGACAATAATTGCGTAGTGGTACAATAAAGCAATCGAAATAGAAAAATACCATTATTATGTTGTGTTCAACATCTGAGAATAGAACACCATTGTATTCACAAAGTGTTATACAAAAACACACCTAACATATACTGCAAACTGCAATATAGTAACAGCGTATTTATATATAGCAATGCGCCCACGTAATCTACCAAAGGTCAGTGTAGTAGTATGAGGTAATTATCAACTTACTTCTAAGGTGAGGTGGGCCTGGAACTCCGGGTTGTACGATAAACACATCGGATTGCGCTGGTTTCTCTGGAACAGTGATTATCTGATTTTGTTGCGGTATATCACTTGGTAACCCAGTAGCATAATACACCTAGTACAGATTGGACCACAATCACTATTCAGTTTGCTAAACAATGTATACAGGTTGTTTGAAAATAGATTAGTGTAAAATAGGGAGATTCATGTAGTTGTTTCCAAACTGTATTCAAAACAAATGAATGATTTATACAGGTATACACTCTGTAAGTAAAATACCTTTGGTGTTTGACGATACACCCAAAGTGTAGTACAGCAATACCATACACTAAATAAGGATATGATTCCTTCAACAAGCGCAACCATCAGAAGCATTACGTCAATGGCAATAGGGTTTGTCTATGTACAAAATAAATGAAAGGTAATTGATGAAGCTGGTAACTTTCAAAATAAGCCCTCTCCAAATACGTACACATGGAATATGTAACTGAATGTTCATAAACAATGTATATACATTATGAGTACTTACATAATTAGCTGAGCAGTGGGGTACGGTAAACCAACAATTGTGATGAATTCCATAATTATGCCGTCGATTGACATCCAGTGACGTCACGATTACCAAAATAGGTGTAAGACAGAATCCAGAAATGATCGATGTAACCATGAATGCAATAATCTAGTCATATGTACAGACGGTGAAGACTATGTATTAGTGTGTAAACCATTTCATAAGTTGGGTATATAGTCAAAAAGAATACAACAAATATTACAATTACATTTTAATAGCCCATTGGATGGTAGTAATTTGAATAGGCTTTCCCCTGTAGATAATGATTGATAGGCATACGAATGTGTGGATGACTATCATTAATATAATTTTATAATTCCAGTTGATTATTTGATGATAACACACGTGGGTTATCATTCACAATGTGTTCGTATTGACTTCAAATATCACGCCGTGATTGATACATGCTGTGTACACATTGAAAGAAATTGTAAAAAGACGGATATCCAAGTTAGGCCACACCGACTTAATTTTATGGATGACATCCGCGCGCGCATTAGTTTTCGCCTGTTCTCAAAAAAAAAATATCTAACGTCGAGTCTCCACAGATCGGTTTTCTGTCCGGAACTTGCCGACTCATATTGTCGCAAAGCGTTTTGGACTACCTCAAAACGTGCCAATTTTGTCGTAAATGATCTTCTGCACATGCGTATTGAGTTGCCGGGAATTTCAACATGGCGACCACGCCACCAAAATACGTGAGCATAAAAGTTCAGAGGAAAAACGGAGGGATTGTTTAGACTGGTACGCAATTGACGTCGGCCAGGGTAGTTACAAGCAAGTTTCGCCCAGACAACTTAAAGGACAACTTGAAGATGAGATCCTAGACATGAGACACTAGACATACTTGCAGGGTTAACATGTAGGCTTCATTTCACCTGACAACACAGTTAAAGCTAACCCCAGCTGTGTAGAGAGGAGCAAGCTAGGACATTTCTGTATCATTACAATATTTTGTTAGTTATTGTCATAAAGTAGTGATATGTACATTCCGCCTTGACTTGTACTGAAAATAGTGTTCATGATGTACCTTGAATGCAGTGTTTCTGACTGAAGGTACTTCATCATGACTACATGTACTAGACCTTGTCTGAAATGGTTATACATGTGACAGTAATACAGTACGAGATGTGTACATCAATATGTGCCTTCTACAAATAAAAACTTCTTGTTTTTTGTGTTCTGTGCCAGGATTTTTTTTTTCGCCCTCTCGCATTAGTTTTGGGGTCTCCAGAGGATGTCATACATAAAATTAAATCAGTGTGGCCTTAGGGTAATTAACTAAAATTGCAAGTTTCGTAGTGTTGTGTTATTTACATACCAAAGATCTGTTCCTATCATTTCCGGAGACGCATCCTAAAAACCCGGTGACAATGAACTGAAGTGGGAAATAACAGTTACATGTATTAAAGGCAGTTGCAGTATTCTGAATAGGAAATCAACCAGGCTATATTGTCTGCATAGGATCCATATATTCATTACATACATGTAGAGAGTGTACGTTTTATTACGAAAGGTGACGAATCTGATTTTCAACCGAGTCCATATCTTCGTCACCACCATCTAGTGTTAGTATAATCTTCTGACTCGAGATGAATTAAAGATCAAAGAATGGTGTGATTTTCTTTCATTGAGTCACCTAATTATGTTGTTGTTTTAGCGGGGCTGTTTTTAAATTTATAGTTCTCCGGATTTATTAGTTGTTATTGCTAATGTTTCGAGTTTTATTTGACGTGTTTCAAGGCGCAGTTAGAGGTATTTTAGACTATGATGGGGTATACTAAATCATAACTTGGTGTAAAATGGGATATTGTATATATATATAATGGAGTTTGACATAAGGATCATGCACAAGTACCCACCGGCTGGGAGGGGAACTCACCCTTATTTGGACACCATTCTATTGTTGAGTTAAGTGAATTATTGTATTCATTATGCATATCGCATTTCCATAAACTGATATTGCTACACAATTTGTTATATCAGACAGCACGAATTCACGCACGGTATTTTGGTGTGATTATCACATGTGCCTACATAACATTGCGGTCTCATATCATGGTAAATATGACATCATCAGTGAACTAGTAAATACTTACAAATACCCCGCACCAGATTCCAGTACCAATATTCGCCAGGCCCCCAACGACTGCGATTGCTGTTAATCCAAATACCACAGCTAATACTCCTAGGATAATATGGGTAGATCCAAACGCGAAGGCCAGCCTTAAAAATCCTCTTCCTGACTTTTTGGGTTTGTCTTGAGAATTTTCTTCAGATGACGGCATCGTTTACCAATAAAATGAGTTACCACTATGGAACAAAATAAATTTGAATATAATAATAATATAATATGACAAAAGTAATAATTTGTTGTTTTTAACCACTGAGTCTAGCTTCACAAACGGTGATTTTTAAACCGTCACTTTTTGTAAACATCATATCGATTTGGAACAAGCAAAATTCTGTCAAGGTAGTGTGAAATGTGTGTGCATAACGTGACATAAGTCAAGGACTGCATTTTCCCTGAGTTTCAAAGTGATGTAATCATGACATGTTTCGTTAATATAGCGGTCTCCGCAACATATTCTCAAAATAAATTTGCTGCGTGTCAATATTATCACATGCCGTCTAGAAAGGCAAAATGGGTCGACTGTTAAATAACCGCAATGCTATTCAGTTGGCGTCATTAGGGTTGAATTGAGAAGTAATTATTAAAAACTACACCATATCCTTACCGATTCGAGCCTGAATTCACAGATACGATAGGTGTACGACAATTAACTGTATAACGTAGATAATAAGCTGTCCTTTAACCAACGTTCACTATCAACATATCCAACAAGCACCAGTGCGTTGTTGTAACTGTAGTAATTTACCCCGTATAATCACTTCTATTTTTCGTTCTAGAAATATCCAAAGCATCTGTTTTGCGCATACTCGTCAAATCCGCTTTAAAACCATATATTTTTGTAACAGTTAGCCTGTTCGTACCTACCGGCATTTGTACCCCAGTACGTTTCTGCAGCTCGTTTTGTAGATTATAGAAATATTGCCCAGCCCTGAAATACACATACGGCAACAATTTGTCGATGCATTTTATAATTTCTGAAACATTCATGAATGTTTGAGTGGTAAAAGGGGAAAATGACGCACATTCACAGAATTTTTTTTTTGGGACCTTGTACAAAAAATAAAACAATATAGTGCAGTAGGAATAATATGAGGTTATTACGAGGATACCGAAACGTATGTACGAGGACTGTGAGCACAGCGGGAGTATTACCCTACGCGCAGCAGTGTCTGAGTGCATACTCTGCGGTATCCTCGTAATAACTTTATAATTATACAGCTTTTCCTCCCATCATGGGAAAGTCGAAATCCAAAAAGCTTAGAGCAGATTTATCGAACTTCTTTGTGTAGAGTACGGTCATACCCTGGGGGCTGCCATTTTTGTTTTTATTACTAGAAGACGCTCATGCGCATAATCGCTCCATATTGGATATACTCATTTTATAATATGGTAGGATGAAAACACCCAGTGCGATACCGCAAAGTTACGGCACGCTGCAAGTTATGGCGTTACGGTGACAGACGTATAATAATTCCCCCAGGATTTGACCGGACCACACGCAAAGAAGTTCGCTAAATCTGTTCTAAACGTTTTGGATATCGATGTATGATTAAAAGGTTATTACGAGAATATTGCAAAGTATTCACTCAGAGAGTAGGCAGACGCATCGCCCTCCGCTGCGCGTCGGTCGATACTACCGCTGTACTGTCTTCGTGCATACTTTGCAGTATCCTTGTAATAATCTCATATTATAGTATTTAGTGAACTGAGTTGAAAAAATGTGTGATGGAATACCACGTACGACGAACAATTTAATATTCAATAAATTTTCATTTTAAAAACACTTCCGCCTCTGAACAAACTAATGACTGTAATAATAAAAAAACCACATACACTGCAATAGTGACAACACAGAAATATTGCAATAGCGTATATTGCAACAGTGATGACACACGAATATTGCAATAGCATATACTGCAATATGGTCAACACACGAACATTGCAATACAGTATACTGCAACAATGATGACACACGAATATTGAAAAAGCATATACTTCAATATGGTCAACATACGAATATTGCAATAGCGTATACTGCAAGTGACAACACACGAATATTGCAATAGTGTATACTGCAATAGTGACAACACACGAATATTGCAATAGCGTATACTGCAATAGTGACAACGCATGAATATTGCAATAGTGTATACTGCAATAGTGACAACATACGAATATTGCAATAGCGTATACTGCAAGTGACAACACACGAATATTGCAATAGTGTATACTGCAATAGTGACAACATACGACTATTGCAATAGCGTATACTGCAATAGTGTATACTGCAATAGTGACAACACACGAATACAGCAATAGTGTATACTGCAATATTGACAACACACGACTATTGCAATAGCGTATAATGCAATAGTGACAACACACGAATATTGCAATAGTGTATACTGCAATAGTGACAACACACGAATATTGCAATAGCGTATACTGCAATAGTAACAACACATGGATATTGCAATAACGTATACTGCAACAAAGACAACACACGAATATTGTAATAGTGTAAACTGCAATAGTGATAACACACGAATATTACAATAGTGTATACTGCAAAGGTAACAACACATGGATATTGCAATAGTGTATACTGCTATAGTGACAACACACGAATATTGCAATAGCGTATACTGCAATAGTGACAACACACGAATATTGCAATAGTGTATACTGCAATAGTAACAACACACGAATATTGCAATAGCGTATACTGCAATAGTGTATACTGCAATAGTGACAACACACGAATATTGCAATAGCGTATACTGCAATAGTGTATACTGCAATAGTGACAACACACGAATATTGCAATAGCGTATACTGCAATAGTGACAACACACGAATATTGCAATAGTGTATATACTGCAATAGTAACAACACACGAATATTGCAATAGCGTATACTGCAATAGTGTATACTGCAATAGTGACAACACACGAATACAGCAATAGTGTATACTGCAATATTGACAACATACGAATATTGCAATAGCGTATACTGCAAAGGTAACAACACATGGATATTGCAATAGTGTATACTGCAATAGTGATAACACACGAATATTGCAATAGCGTGTACTGCAATATTGACAACACACGAACATTGCAATAGCGTATACTGCAACAAAGACAACACACGAATATTGCAATACCGTATACTGCAATAGTGATAACACACGAATATTGCAATAGCGTGTACTGCAATAGTGATAACACACGAATATTGCAATAGCGTATACTGCAATAGTGACAACATACGAATATTGCACTAGTGTATACTGCAAAGGTAACAACACATGGATATTGCAATAGCGTATACTGCAATAGTAACAACACATAGATATTGCAATAGTGTATACTGCAATAGTAACAACACATGGATATTGCAATAGTGTATACTGCAATAGTAACAACACACGAATATTGCACTAATGTATACTGCAATAGTAACAACACACGAATATTGCACTAGTGTATACTGCAATAGTAACAACACATGGATATTGCAATAGCGTGTACTGCAATAGTAACAACACATGGATATTGCAATAGCGTATACTGCAATAGTAACAACACATAGATATTGCAATAGCGTATAGTGCAAAAGTAACAACACACGAATATTGCACTAGTGTATACTGCAAAGGTACCAACACATGGATAATGCAATAGCGTATACTGCAATAGTAACAACACATGGATATTGCAATAGCGTGTACTGCAATAGTAACAACACATGGATATTGCAATAGCGTATACTGCAATAGTAACAACACATGGATATTGCAATAGCGTGTACTGCAATAGTAACAACACTTGGATATTGCAATAGCGTATACTGCAATAGTAACAACACACGAATATTGCACTATTGTATACTGCAATAGTAACAACACATAGATATTGCAATAGCGTATACTGCAATAGTAACAACACATAGATATTGCATTAGTGTATACTGCAATAGTAACAACACTTGGATATTGCAATAGTGTATACTGCAATAGTAACAAAACACGAATATTGCACTAGTGTATACTGCAATAGTAACAACACACGAATATTGCAATAGTGTATACTGCAAGGTAACAACACATGGATATTGCAATAGTGTATACTGC